GTTGATTAATGCATAGAGCTGGTCTTTCAAGGCTGGTGAGCCAAAGGTGGTAGCCATGCATTGCTTTATAAGTCTGACTCTCACTTCAGCTTGCAGGCTTGAGGCATAACTGAATTAAGAGACTATGATGATGTTTTTAAATTAAGCAGTACACTACTAAGAGACTAATAAAGCAATTAAATGATAATTAATCTAAACACAAACACAACTATAAAGCTGCTAATTATAATTCTTAAGTCTTATGAATCACACCTGACTACTATTGAATTACAACTCCATCTCCCTTCCCTTCCTGCTATTTAGCATTGGGATGCAAGTCTATCCCTCCTTTCTCCACTGTCATACACCAGGTCTTTCAGACAAAAGGCATGATGGAGGTTCGAGTAGGTTGTCCAATGGAGGTCCCTCCAGCATCAATGTGAACTTGAATTCAAAGATCAGCTTCATTATTATCTGTAGGTGTCTACCCTCTTACTGACAAAAAATCCTGTTCTCCTTTATTCTGTAGCTGTTTTTATATCTTATTTCCCAGTTTTCTATTTCTGGATCTGTCTTTTCACCCCTTTTGCATGTCTCTTTCTCCATCCAAGCTCCTCCCAAATAAATAATCTGTTCCCAGTTACCTTTTTCCTAGTTGGGCCCATTTCTGCTGCATCCATACCCAAGTTTGGTTGATTTTTTTCAGTGCTGTTGTTTAGACAATCTTGACTTTGTATGGTGTTATTTATATGGTTGCCTGGGTACAGGTGACTTTGGGAGACTTCACACCCAAAACTCCCCTAACTCTATCCAGTTCATAATGGCATCACGTTGTTCACCATATACACTCACTAAGACAAATTATTTTGTTTTAGCCTTAACTCTTCTACCTAATTCCAATTAAGCACAATCTGTTTATCTTCTGCACAATTTGCATACTACAACACCAGAGTAATATGTTTTTCACACACTGGTTCTGTGCTTTTGCAGCCTTGTTGTCCTTGAAGTCTTTTAATCACTTTCCTCATTCCTGGTAGAGGCCTTACCTAGTTATGAGGCTTGGTGTTCCATCAGGACCTCCTGTTTACAACTTTCCACTCTGTAGTAATGTCCACAGAAAGCTGTGTGCCCTGATGATGCTAACTTTATGGGCCATGTAGTTTGGAGCAGATCTTTAAGTACTGTTGTGGGTTTTTTCCCCCCAAGGATTCTGGAAAATTGATGGGCTGCCTATAACAAATACAGCAGAACAGGTGGACACTTAATGTAGAGATGGGTTGTACTTCCCTCAGTTAAATATATAGTTAGGATGTATAGCCTCATGCAAGTAGTCCTTTTCAGAACATTGTGCATTTCTTATTTGTGAAACCACTATGTGGGATGAGAGGTGTATTTCAGTATGTGTAGTTGGTTGTGGCATGTTCTGCTTATTTCTTCTCCACTCTTTCAGCCAGGGTTTTTCAGTGGTCAATTAAAGCATTAAAGTAATTTATTACCTCGCAGGACTAGGGCCAAGGACCCAGGCTCATTAACAGTAATCCCTACTCAGACAGATGGGGAGACTTTTGTGTACAAACAGCTTTTTGTTATTCAAACGACTTGGAAACATTGCTCATTCTGGTGACACATGGGCAAGTTGTTACACCTGAAGCATAATTAGCTCAAGTGCCCACTTTTCTGCCTTGTATGGACTGGGTAGCACAAAATGAATTGTTGCAGTCTAGGTCTAGAAGCAAAGGGCAGGGCATTGAGGAATAATGAATTCCATTTCAGCTTACATAAATTCTCCTCTTTGGTCTTCATTGGAAGGAGTATGAGTTGAAAAGATATTTCCAGAGAAAAGTAACTTTTCTATTAATAGAGGTACAGTATTTGGGGTATTTTGTGAGTGAGATGATGACTGCATGTCAGTGTGAAAGATGTCTTGAGTCACAGATCCTCTGCTCAGAAAGTTTTAGCATTATGGCTTTAACTGGAACAATTAATATGAGTGCCAAAGATGGTAAGTCAGGCTTGTAATGGTTGATTACCCTTTAACAGTCTCTGAGAGATCCCAGAGTGAGCTAAAACCTAAGCCTGGCTTAAGGACACTCGATAGGGCTTTCCTGATCCTCTTCAAATTGTGTGTGTGTTTCCTTCCATGCTAAAATATCTGGATTTCTCTACCATTTAAAAAAAAATAGAAAGAAAAAAGAAAAATAAATTCCTACCTGACTGAGAATAAAACTCATTCTTATCTTTTACTGCCTTAAAGAGGAACAGTCTTGCAGGGTGCGTGAAACATTGTCTGGCTTGTCTCTTACCATGAACCCTGTCAGAGCATTCTAGTAAGGTACAACTGCAACAGCAGGGTAGGGAGAAGATATTCACGTGGTGTGACTGAGCCATCTGTGGCAACGCTCTGATCTTTGTACCAGGAAGTGAGCAACATCTGCTCCTGGGAGAAGTGTTACTATCACAAGCTGACATTAAAAGGCCCTCCTAACAACAGGTATCTTTATTCTGAAACAAAACTATACCTTCTGCTTGATGAGACCCAAGCTAGTAGAAAAAGGAGTACACATGCCAACAGGCTGGTATGGATATCATGGGCCAGATTTGCCTTTTCCTTATGTCAGGATAATTTGATTGCTTATATATTTTTTTATATTCATGCCAGGAAGATTATAGGCAGAATAAATTGATTCAAGCACAGTCAAAAGAGATCTCAAATAGAGAAAGTGGTCCCTATTTTGTATAACATGTGAAGAGGTTGGATTCACAGAGAACATCTGAGCTGTGAATCCAGCTGTCAGGCTTGCATGTGGGCTTCTGCAACCACTGCTGATACGGATTCTTCTGAAAACTGACCACAATAAACTGGCTTTAATTACAGCTGGTCTCCAGTAAGAGTGGTCCTTGCAGAGCCAAGCTGTGCTGTAAATAGCTGGATGCTATTTGGACAGATGGTTCTATCTTCTTAAAGAAGTTTTAAATTCCCTAAGCCTAAGGCTCCTTGGATGGAAATCAAGGATTACTTGTAACTGTACTTCCTTGCTTGCTTGGAATAGTGACAATACAGAAAATCGGTTTATAATGGCTAAGTCATCCTTTCTTAGACGTTTTCTTAGAATCTCAACTGTTTACTTCTTCACTGGACTCACTGTCTTTTTCACAAGTGCCTTCACTTCTTGTAGTGTACCTACTCTTCCTATTAGTCTTATAAATTGCATTACCTTCTAATCATCTCCCAGTAATTTTCCAGCTTATTTACTTACTGTGTGTGCTGAACATACCTTTTCTATAAGAATATGTTTATAGTTAAGTGGCAGCAAGGAAAAGAAGCAGATATTTGACAGGACAAGGTATCTGAGCTTAGTGCTTTTCTTTTAAGTACCTATCAAAAATTACAGTGTCATGATGAACATAACAAAAATGTGTGTGGAATAGCATAAGAAGGCTGAAGTATTTGTGTTGGACCTAATTACAGAAGAAACAAACTGAGATTCCACTATCTGTTTTATACAGATGTTCAGGGTAATGATCCCTGAGGTTTAGGATTGTGGGATTCATAGAACCATAGAATGGTTTGGGCTGGAAGGGACCTTAAAGATCATCCAGTCCAACCCCCCTGCCATGGGCAGGGACACCTCCCACTAGACCAGGGTCCCCAAAACCCTGTCCAACCTGGCTTTGAACACTTCCGGGGGGGGCATCCACAACTTCCCTGGGCAACCTGTTCCAGTGTCTCACCATACACACAGTAAAGAATTTTTTCCTAATATCTAGTCTTAATCTACCTTCTTCCAGTCCCTCCCCAGCTCCCTGGGAAGTAGCTCCCCAGACAGCAACTTGAAGGCCATGCAGCTTGAGCCTTTTGGATCAGCTTGCTTAAATAGCTGGTGGCCTCATGGAACATTTGCAGGCAAAAGTGTTACTTCTATGTATGACTTAGCTAGTGGGAGTAGATACTACCATACAGTGGACAAAAAAGAAAAATTTTTAAATGAGAAATCATCCTAGGTAAATGCAAAACTTCCATGTTTAAATGATTGTACTGTTTGACAAGGTTCATAAATTAGATGTTCTTTAGATGAAATTCAGGTACCAAGACCAGCTGGCATAAAATGGCTTGCACTCCTTCCTTTAAACTTTCTTACCTTTCAAAACATCATGGCCATTTGTGGAATCTCTGTTGTCTGCTTTTCCAGCCCCTGTTCGAGGCCAACGCCTCACTTGTGACCAGGGACTTGTTCATCTTTGTGGCAGTTGGTTCAGGCTAAAATTGGAGAGGCCCAAATTCAGACCATAATAAATAGAATAGAATATTTCAGTTGGAAGGGACTTACAATAGACTAGACATCTAGTCTATCTGTCTAGATTCAGGCCTGACCAAAAGTTAGAACATGTTATTAAGGGCATTGTCCAAATGCCTCTTAAACACTGAGAGACTTGGGGCATTAACCACTTCTCTAGGAAGCCTGCTTCAGAATCTGACCACCCTCTCAGTAAAGGAATGCTTCCTAATGTCATGGCTGAACCTTCCCTGATGCACCTTTGAACCATTCCCACATGTCCTGGCACTAGATACCAGCAAGAAGAGATCAGCATCTCCTTCTCCACTTCACCTCCTCAGGAAGCCGTAGAGAGCAATGATGCCACCCTTCAGTCTTGAGTACCTCAAGACTCTTCCAGAAGCACTTACAGGAGTCATAGGGCCCCGATGCATCTACAAAGTTGTCCCTGAAACAAAATTTTTAATTGAATACCTGCACTGTGTATGTGTACTGGTTATGTGCTAGCTGCCTCAGCTGCATCTGTGTGACAACCAATGTGCCTGGTTATCCTCTTTGGAAACAGCATTGTAGCAGGAGGAGAAGTACCCTCAGGGTCTGGCTGAGATAAGGTTGCCTGAATGTCTCTAGTTGTTGGGATTCCTCTGTGACTTTTTGGCATAGCTCTGGTTTCACTAAAAGGTGAGGTTGTGTGTTGCTGCATGATTTAACACACAGAGGCACCACCAGGCAGACTCCAAGACTTCCATGGGGCTCAACCAGTTCCAGCCATCAGAGGATATGATTGTTGGTGTAAACAAGGACTGCCATGCAGAGCTGACGCTGATTGTGCTGCGCTGGGTCAGCTGCTCTGCAGCTGGCTGAGGATGCCATCATGCTATATTTAGTCTGTGATGACCACCTCTTTTTCACATCATTCTGTTCTGCGAAGCTTCACAACTGAGAGAGACTCTTCTGCAGCCAGGACTGCATCTCAGTCATTTGCAGGGCTGTAACATGTCTTCTTTCCTTCTGTGTCATCTAATGAGCCAGGTGTACCTGGTCAGCCAGATGTGCAGTCCTGGGTAGCTGTCTGGCCTGTCTTTCCCTACTAAGGCTCCATGTGAGAGAGCGTCATCTGAAAGTACACTTTGCAGCTTCTACCTATATGCGACCCCTCACTCCCTCAAAACCCCAATCTGCACCATATACATGACTGTACACATAAAACTTAAACACATGAAACATATATTTTCAGAAGGGAGGAACTTCAGAGTTCTGCATCTGTGATGTATTATGTGATTTAATGTAATTATAAGTGAGAATGCATTAGAGATCACACTGTCTAGCTGCTAAATACTCCAATCTCTGCAGACTCGTAAAAATCAACCTAGTTCCTTTTAGGTACTTTCAAATAGGAAACTAATTTTTAGTAATTTCTTTTAATATCTTTAATATCTTTCTTGGTCATTTTTTAAAGTATCTCCAGGTAGTAGGCACCTGTGTTTGGCACAGCCAAACAAAGGCTGGTTAACCTTGGGGATTCAGCAAACACTCCTTAAGTTCCCTGGTACCCAAGCAAATCTAGCAGTTAAACATCAGTTCTTTAACTAGGGCAATGGATATGGAAAACCAGATTCAGATCCTATGTCTGGATAACTCTGTACTTATTGACATTTCTAAGTACATACAGTGATTCTCTTAAGAAATTGGTAGGGAATTCTGCATGGGAGGAATTGAGAAAGGAGAGATGGACAGGAGTGGTCATAGCCAAGCATT